TCAAAGTATTTCTACTCACTCAAAGTGTTTGTCTTCTGTGTAATTGTGCCATTCTTACGTGTCGTGTCGAGAGTGCCAGTGAGATTTTGCTATTTTGTGTTTATATACGTTGGATTTTGAAGGGGTGGGGAAGGATGTCGGTATAGAAAAGACATTTTTGTATAAGGTGTCGGCTTCTCTGAGGTGAAAGCAGCCGACGAAGGGAAAAAATGTGTTGGTAATGGTTCGGTTTAACTACTAACGGTTAATTTTGAGTGAGTAGAAATACTTTGATTGAATATATAAAATATATTTTGCATTTGCAATTCACTTTTTCACATCCAAAATGTAATTGTAATATGTAAACAATGTTTGTAAATCCCAGGCCCTGAAGATGATCTCAATAAAGATCGAAACGTTGGCACGATAAAGAAAATGTTTTTCTGAAACCTACATCACACCAGACCGCATCTCACGATTTCTAAATAAAGTACTTAATAGATTTCACGTGTTGTGTTTCCTTTTATGTGTAATGAAAGTGAATGTAATTGATGAATGTGTAGTGTGAGAGTGCTGATGATGTAATATTTTTTATTTAAACCTCAGTGACATTAGTTGTATAGTATGTGTAAAGTGAATGGAAATAAATTGTATTTAAGAATAATGAGTACGCCTAGGTTTCAATACTGCATTTGCTGGAGGCTGGAAATACCGCAGGAGCTAACTTCGGCTGGACGGAGTAGACCAAGTTCTTTCCTAGGGATCGAACACCTGAGGATGGTCTGTAGTCAACAGCAACAACGATGATAACAGCAAACATCTGTCCCTCAGATTTTCAACAGTTTTTTAATTTATTTAATATAGTTAGTGATATTACACATAAAGTTTTAAAAGTACTCACGAACGTGCATATCCAAAATTGCCTTTTATTACAAAGCGTCTCTTTTCAATTAAACAAGAAATATGAACGAAAGAAGCTGGTAATAACAATCTTTCTTTACATTTAAACTTACAACCCCGTTCTAACACAACGTATCAGTATTTCATTAGGACCATAAGAGCGTTCGTTGTATGGTGGAGGGGTTGGGGGTTAAGTAAGCCCATGCGTGGGATCGGAACGAGTCACTTAACAGCGACCCAAGTCGTTATTCCAAACGCTATTTCATCCGCAAACAATCTAAAACCGAGAGGAAAAAGGACTTAAATGAAAATTGGATTTTCAATATTTTGTTAAATATAAATCGTGAATTTATTACCGGATATTTACGAGTGATACGGGTCACAGATGTATTAACCGGCTGTAATATATAAAAAACGTAAATCGTTTCCTCCTGCTCAAAAATTAATTGGGGTCGGAGCGAGGAAATATTGCCTCTAGATAATATGTTCAACAGCCCCCAATCTCGGGAGTGGAGATGAACGTTTAGCTATTTTCTTCCGGGTGTTCAGCCTGTTAAAATTATCCGCCGCCCTCTCGGCCTTTTCCAATTCGCCTCGTGTCAAGAGAATGGACAATATCAACAAACTTCAGCAAGACTTTTAACTTCCCTACGCCATTTTGATTCATTTTCATTAAGTTCAGTAATTGACAAATGTACGTAATGAAAAACATTCATTTTCCACATAAATTATCTTATGATTAGATATTTTTATTAATAAGACATCAAAATCACTTGGGTTCCTTGGACGATGAAATGAATTAAAGAAAACATTTAATGAAGGTTAGTTAATCTTTATGTAAGGTTATTGGTTGAGATAAAAAGCCAGTGTCCACCTTTTTGAATTTTCCCTCCTTTTTGCCATTTTTCAAATGTGTTTTTATCTCAATCAAAACCTTAATTAAACATAAATTAATTGAACAGAACTTATCTCGTCAATCGGACCACGAAACATCATAGATGTAGAATTGCGAGACCTCCTAGGAGGCCTCTGGCCTCTCCCTGATAGATCAGGGGGAGTCACCCACCTTGGTGCATAAGCGACTCCGAGGTTTGGCTCTTGTCGGGCGCCATCGACTTCTTTGGTCATTTCGGCTAAAAAAAACCCCTAAAACTAGTCATTCTCACACTCACTCATACAATAAATACATACATACTACTATATACAAACCCAATCACACATGCATATCCTCTGTCTAGAATCCGGGTCGAAGGGTACTCGATATTCCGCCCAGACCCGGTTTACCGGAGCAGCGGTGGAGCCTTGAAATAATATGCTGCAACGCCGCCCAACATACTTCTATTCTACCAGAAACTAAATCTAAACTTAAACCTATAAAGTAAATACCCCTCTATATACAACCCATAATCCCAATATCTGTTAGAAGCCTAAAAAGTTTGTCCTTGAATTCGCTGCCATGCTCGAGCATTCTTCTATAACCCGGCGGTATTCCATTTCGGTCCCTATACAGGGCCAAGCTGCGACACCCTCCAACACGTGCGACACAGTGAGTCTGTCTACTTGACATGCTGGGCATCTAGGTCGACTCTAGCCAACCAGCAGGTACCCATGAGTCGCACGTGTGTGGCCTATCCGCAGTCGGGTCAGGACAACGCTTTCCCTTCGAGATATCCCCTCCGGGCTCCACCGGTCGACCGTCGGCTTAACGGACACCAACGCGTCAGTCGAGTCGGCCCAACGACGCTTCCACTTGTCTAACATCATATTTTTCACTATTCTCTTAACATCGTCAGGCCGAATAGGGGTGTTCTCAACATCGTCACTGTAAGGAACGAGAGTACCCGTTTTCGCGGCCAGGTCCGCTCTCTCGTTCCCCTCCAGTCCGACGTGTCCTGGCTCATGGATGTAATATGTAAAATGAAATATACTTCAATAAAGCTCTCCGTGGCCATTTAATTTGTCGCCGAGAATCAAATAGATTACACGAAATTTGAAAAATGGCAAAAAGGAGGGAAAATCCAAAAAGGCGGGGTTGAGATGGGAGGCTGGTGTCCGAGTGGATCGAAGTCACGATAGCTCAAGTGGTAGAGCAGCGGCGTATATAGCCGAAGATCGTGGGTTCGAATCCCGCTCTTGACACTGACTTTTTTTTCTCAACCAATACCTTAATTAAAGATAAATATTTGAAAATTTGGATTTTCCGAGAATCTTCATGATAGGAGGAAAGTACAAGTACGCGTTTTTGTTTAACAGCAAGGCTGCTTGCCGAAATGCTTGGCGAGTCATAGTGATGTTGCGTATAAATTGAATTGAACTCAAAAGCGATTCTTCTCAATGATTACTTTCACCACATTTGGGCGATTTGTCCAAAGTTCATTTCGCGCATGTTCTTAAAGCGGTTACATTCGAAAATGTTCCTGCCGTCAGAGGCGATTCCATTAGAATATTTATCAACAAAAGGATCCCGAGGATGTCCATCGTGTTATAATTTCATGTTATTACCTTCTACCTTCTCGTGGCCGGCCTTAACTCTTTCCCTAACTCGATCAAATCGTCCATTTCCATCACCGCCACTGATTATAGCCGTCCCCTTTCTCGTAAAAGATCGAAATCAGCGAAAAGCCGGCAGGGCTAAAGAGTTATCTTTGATTGGGCATTAGTCTCATCCATTCATGGAAATGGTTCCAGCCGCACAACGGCAACGTTTCTTGTTCGGTCTCCCTTTATCTGTGTGCGAGAGGAGAGGTTTACCTACAATAATTTATTCAGAATGCGCAAGAAATTACGACCGTCTCAGACCAAAGCTGACTGAATTGGACTGATTTATTTCTGATAAAGAATTATAAACATTTCTCTCATTAGAAGTTCCAATTGTGACGGGATAACTTTTTTTCCCTTTAATTTTATTTTTATTTCATCATACATTAAGACTAAAATTGAAAATTATATTCTGAATAATCAAACGTGATGTTCTATTTTCCTCCGCCCTCGGCGAGGTAGGGCCTCCATTATAATTCAGTTCACACCTTGACCCGATGGTCTACCCTTTGAATGGACAAATTGTATAAACCAGCAAGTTGTACAATTTGATTCTTTCCTCGTTTGCACGTTATGAAAAGTTTGCCACTTTACCATCAACGTTATATCATTCTAATTCTGAACGCCTTATAGACTTTTCTTGCGTAATACAATATGAACGTACGATGTCTTTGTCGGATTCTAGTTTCGACAAATTTCAAACGAACTGTCTCACTAACTCGATCACTACAATTTCTTGATTATAGCTCATCTGTATCATTTCAATTAATTAATCTTTTTATGTAAGGTTTTTGGTTGGAATGAAAATATTAGTGCCACGAGTGGGATTCGAACGCACGACCTTCGGCTAAATACGCCGGTTCTCTACCACTTGGGCTAATGTCACTTCCACTTGGACACCAACCTCCCCATCTCGACCTACAACCTTTCGAATTTTAAAAAATGGCGAACTGGAGGGAAAATTCGGCAGTCCGATTGACCGAATAACGTTTTTCAATTACAGTGAAATCCGGTTGTAACGAAATTGAAGGGACCAGGCAAAATTGATCGTTATATCCGGAAATCGTTATAACCGGAATGAGAGGGGGAGGAAAAAAAACCAGTTTTATAGCTTATAGTTTTATATATTATTTACTTTTAAATATAAGTACATACCTAATTCAATTTTTACAAGTTAAGGAAATGCGTAATATGTATTATTATAATTATACAATAAAATAAAATTAAAGGAATAACTAATAATCGTAATTATGTAATTGCTATTTATGTACATACATATTTAACATTCTTTATTTTTTGACAAAAAAATCTAAAATTTTAGTTTGCTTTTTTTTAAGTACAAATTTTTGCTCACATATTCGTCATGTTCTTTTAAGGAAGCTGTAGTTTCAGGTTTATTTATGTCATCATTTAGGGCGACGTATGTGCGAATGACACCAAGAGCGCTGTAGACTTTTGATAGAGTCGGAGTACGGAAAAGATCATCTTCAGTCTCGCCGATATCTTCATCATCTTCCACTTTATTCTTATTTAAAATAGACGCCACGATTGATTCTTCCGTCGGTTCCTCTGATGTAAGGATGTTAGCATCGACTTCTGCGTATGACTGCATCGCCGTGAAAATTAAAATCGAGCTCTTGGGCCCATTCATTAAAGTTCCTCACGTCGTCTTCCTGGTCGGTTCTCGTTTCGTCTTTTCCAAAACCATGTCTAAAGCAATTTTGAATGGTTTTTTGAGTGACGTCGTCCCAGGAATCGGAAATCATTAGGATTGCGTCAAGTAGAGACACCTTAAAGTTTTCTGGCTGGTCCAACATTTTTAAAACCAAACGTTGACGAAACTTCACTTTGAGGTTTTTGATTATGCCTTGGTCCATGGGCTGAAGCACAGATGTCGTATTGGGTGGTAAAAAATAAAGTTCGATGTTTTTCGGGTTTGGGACTGACGGATGAGAAGGACAGTTATCTACAGTGAGAAGAATTTTTCGTTTCTTCTTTTGAAGCTCTTCGTCCCATTTGCGAAGCCAGTCGGAAATAATCTCGCTCGTCATCCACGCTTTTTTATTGTGGGTATAATCTAACGGAAGTTTTTGGACATTTTTGAAGCAACGCGGAGATTTCGATTTTCCGATGATTAATAATTTTTTCTTATCTGTTCCCGTCATGTTGCTCGCGACTAGGACTGTAACTCTCTCTTTTGAGTGCTTCCCACCATGGCACGATTCCCCTTTAAATCGAAGGGTCTTGTCCGGCGTCAATCGGTAAAACAATCCGGTCTCGTCGGCATAGTAAATGTCTTCGTCAGCGAAATTCTCCCGAGTTATAGGCCAGATGCACTGTAGCCAATTTTCGGACACTCCGGCTGGTACACTTGAAGATTCTCCGCTGATCTTTCCAAACACGATGTTGTGCCTTACCCTGAACCTTGTTATCCAAGACATGGAGCATTGAAAATCTTCTTTACACAGGATCCTGGCGAACTCATTTCCTTTTGCTTGCAAGATGGGCCCACTAATCGGAATGTGTTTTCTTCTTTGCATCGTAAACCACTCCAAAAGAGCTGCTTCAAGCTTTTTCGTGTTGGCTGTTACTCAGTTTTTTCTTCGATTTGACATCTTTTTCGAAAATTTCTTTTATTTTTTCTTTTTATTTCCAAATCGTTGATATTGTTGATTGTGAAATGTTGAGCTCGGAAACTAAACTTTTGATAGTTTCTCCCTTCTCAACCCTTTGTATAATTTTCACTTTTTCTTCAATTGAAAACGCGCGGCGTTTATTCGACGCCATATCGCACAAGGAAAAAACGAAGACTGAATCTAAACTCGCATTGTGAAGGAATAGTGCGCAATAAATAGAAGGAAGGGTGTTCAAAGAAAATTGTGGATAGGGGGTGGGATGAAATTCGGTAAAAAAAGGAAGGAGTCATACCTAACGAGTACCGAGTAACGATTGGATAGAGACAAGACTTGTTTACGTTTAAAAATAGAACTAGGTATTCTACGAATTATTTTTGTGTTAAATAAACAGAATAAAAAAAAAACATTTTTTCTTTAGTTTTATATCGTTATAGACACAATATCGTTATATACAACATCGTTACATCCGGATTTATTTCTTCACTTTTACATAGAAAACCAAACTAGACACCCGTTTCACATAGAAAACCAAACTAGACACCCGTTTCACATAGAAAACCAAACTAGACACCCGTTTCACATCGCTATAAGCGGAATCGTTATAGTCGAATTTCACTAAAAAAAGCCATTGTTGTTGCTCCTCGTGACACTGACTTTTTTATCTCAACCAATACCTTATATAAAGATTAATTAATTCAAAACATAATCTTTATAGCTGATAACTAAGTATATCAAAGATATGTTGCCAAACAATCTACAAAATAAAACGATAAAATTTGTTGTTTTTTTCTAAAAAAATTTTCTGAAGTCATTGTTGATTTTTATTTTCTTAATTGACTATGCAATTATATTTAATAACTTCACTTAAACACCTAATTACAATTTTGAAATTTGTAGTTCTACGTCAAATGAAATTAATATTTGAAATTCAATAGAACCAAGTCAAACATGACCTGTGTGTGTGCATTCTGTACTGTAATTGGTTTGTTTAGTTGTACTATTCTGATTTATTAGAATTAATTATTTTTTAATTTTAACCTACTAACTGTTTTCTTTATATTTGGCCTGCTATATAAATATTTTAATTGTAAAGAAATGTTTCCCAGGTCGGCCGAAAATTATGTTTGAAAAACTGGTATGTAAAATTCTCTGAAAAGTAAACAGGTCAAAGATAAATAAAGACAGAAAAAAATATTCTATGTACCTAAAATGAAATTAGATATAAATGTTTATGTCGTTATTAATATTCAGCTTATTGGAATGTTAGAAATATTATTCCTTTGTGAAACAGAAACGCCTAAACAAAATTAATTTCTCTTTAATATTGTATGAAAAGTAGGCTAATATAACATGGACGAAGTTAAAGCGTCATTTAAATCTAAATAACTTTAATTTTCATTAGTTCCAAATTAAGAGAAAATTGTGTAACTTTTTTATTAAAAAATATATATATTTAAAAGCTAATTATTGGCACATATTAAATATCAGAGGGTTCATAAGGATTGTGTTATAGTTGGAAATTCTTTCTGTGATACCAAGAAGACTCGCTTTGAAGTGTCTGTTTTGCGGAATTTCCCGGAAACGATTCCACCCCTGGAGTAATTTCCAGGCCGGCATTGATTGTAATATACGCATCTCATATGAGGTTGGTGCTGGTGAAGGATGGAAGAAGCATTCCTGTGGGAGGGGGCATCAAACATCTGCCGCTCCCCTGCCTCCAACCGAGTTCTCCTTTTTAGGGCATCGATTACCGTCGAACACTTTCTTCATAATTCCTAATGTCGCCGAGGGCCTAGGGCGATTTAATTGCAAAAACGGGACTGGAAAATTCCCCCGACGTCAAGGGCGCGGTGAAAAAAGTTCCAACATTAATGAACTTTCAACTTAGCGACAAAAATGATTTCGAGCCAGATGAAATAAGGAAACCCCTTTTAGTTTGAGTATTACTGATCAGTAGACAATTTCATATTTTCATATACCTATTCAAAAGTAGTAAAATAAACTAATAATAATATCAATAATTTTTTGTTACATTTTTTATATAAATTTTTATTTAAATTGTAATTAATTTTCATGTGGTTTTTAGTAAGTATCCATATAAACCGCTCAAAAATGAATAAGGATATTGGTAATTTATTCTTATTCTAATAATTTTAATTAAATTAACAGAAACATTCATGTTAGTTGGATACATAAAAATATGTTATTCTTCAATTTTAATGGCGAATTTAATTTAGAATAATAAACTCGAAGATTACTTATTTTGTGAACAAACAACTTTTCTCGTCTTGCCTCCATTTTAATCCGCTTGTATTCTCTTTAACCATGGAAAGACATCAAATTGAACCAGAAGTTACAAATATTCTGAGAATGAGTCATCGGGGTCACCGGCGAGTGGATATCGCAGAGGCAGTTGGCGTTTTATAGAACGTGGTCTTCGATTCCGAGAGTCTGGAAGTGCCAATGGAAGGCTGGTTGTGAATCTCAGGGCATTAGGACGCTAAGGGAGGACACACATATCGTTTGTTTGTGTCTCGCCCTTTGAGACGACATGCAACAACAGCCTCCCAGCAGTAACTCAGGAGAATATGGTGCAGCGACCGACTAGACGATAATACGAATTGGAATGCTGTTATGTTTACTGATGAGTTGCGTTTCTGTCAGTGTAGTGATAAAAGCCCGAGGAGTCTGTAAGGAGCAGGAGATGCGAATCCCCAGTTCGTGCCCCCTTCAGCGCATGCGTTCCTAAATACTCGGTCGTCCTTAAAATGGTAATGAGGATCTTTAGCGTCCGTACCTGGCTCATGGCCTTACCGGACGTTTTGATTTTCAAGATGGGAGATGACGCACTTCTGCTCAAGACCGAATGTGTGTTACAGCCGCAAGCGTTGGGGTAGAAGCTGTCCCAGCCCCAAGGAAGCAAGACGAACCTCACTCCCCGCTAGCTCATTCCGAGTGGTTGGGTCCGCATTAAGCATAAGACCGTATGCCGCGCGTAAAGGGCTACCCAAGGTGGCTGAAATGCATCACGCACTCCTAGATAGACAAGCCGACTCTATTTCCCAGAGTATTGAGGCTCCTCCAGCGTAAGAACTTCCGGATCCGCTCCGGCCGCGGTTTTGTTTAAGGTAGAATTGTTAACCACTCCCTTGAGGAGACTGCCTTCGGTAGAGGGCGCCCTTGCAGGCACCACCGACCGCTATCCGTTCCCATCCACCACTTCTCACCTATTCGAAGGACTCCGTCAGCGTAGTCGGAGCCTCCTCAACGGAGGCCGACACGAAAACAGCTTGTGCGTTAGAGAGGTTGCCACGGCCTCATGGCTGCACCAGTATTTTGCGCCTGGATACCCCCTGGTTTGAGAGAGGTCTCAAGGAAAAATGCCGAAGGACGTGGATTGAGAAAGGGAAATGGACGAAGACAAGAGGCTCGCCTTTTCAGGCTGTCATTGTCACCGTAGCATTTTCTACACTGTACCACCCATTGTCACAGTAGTTACACATTAAGTGGGCTATGGCTCCCCTGGATGGATTCCCTTCAGTGCAGTTTGGAGGAGGCAGTGTAAAAGTCTGAGCTGAGATCCAACCAGTGATCTCATTGGCAGGGATTTTCCATTTATAAATGACAATGGACCTCATAGAATGTCCTCATAGAAAACATGGGATATCCCATCTGCCCACTCCCCCATTGTCTCTCCAGTCCTCAATCCCATTGAGCAAATGTGGGCTGCCTTGCAGAGGAGGCTTTTCTATCACTATTCGCAGCCTATTGACCTGCAACAACTGGGTGCAGCATTGCAATATCTATGGATTGGAATTTCTTATCAAATTAGTGACAACTTTATTAACGGTATGCACGGTTTTAAATGCTTAAAAATTTATTGTGTCCAATAAACAAAATTATGGATTTAAAACAATATTTTGTTGTTTTTCAAAATCCCTTAATTAAATTATCCTTTCTAATGAATTTTATGCAATTTATAATAAAAATGGAATTAAGTACTACAGGAAGTAAGTACTACAAAAATGACAATACCCGTATTCATTGTTGATCAGTTTATATATATATTCAAATCTGAAATAAATAAAAAAATCCATTATTTTTAAATTTAACTGTAATTAACTTTCAAATATGGTTAATTATGTGATATTTAAACAATCTCAAACAGAAAATAATTTTCCTAAAGTTTTAAATAGAGGGTAAAGTTGGAATTAAAAAGGTTAATTTGAAGTTAAATAATAATTTAATTCGAAAATGAAAATTAAAAATAATAATTAATTCGCTGGACTGTGTTTAAGTAACGTAATTAAACAGATTATTTGGAGATCGCGAGACGCAGTCTGGTGTGACGTAGGTTTTAGAAAAACATTTTCTTTATCGTGCCAAAGTTTCGATCTTTATTGAGATCAGCTTCTGGGTGTGGGATTTATAAAAATTGCTTAAATTATACAAATACATGTAGGATGTGAAAAAAATTAAAAAGGATGAATTTGGAGGTAAAAAGGGTAAACTTTAAATTAAAATGAGCGAGTTTGGAACTAACAATGTTAAATTGAAATTAGAATAATTTATTTTAATGCGAAAACGATTAATTTAACGGAAAAAGAGTATGTTAATTTTGATAGACACAGTTCTGCACATTGCAATATGTTTCATAAAAGTAAGCAACGCAATTAAAAGTGTGAATTTACAAAGTGTTAATTTGTAACTAAAAAGAGTGCATTTGCACTTTACAAGGGTTGATTTGATATAAAAATACTTACTCAGATATCGTGAGATGCGGTCGGGTGTGATGTAGGTTTCAGAAAAACATTTTCTTTATCGTGCCAACGTTTCGATCTTTATTGAGATCATCTTCAGGGCNTTGTAAATCCCAGGCCCTGAAGATGATCTCAATAAAGATC